CATGCCCACATACATTGAGGCATGTGGCTGTTAACCAGAAGGTCAGTGGTTCAAACCCACCAGCTGCTCCATGGCAGGAAGATGAGGCAATCTCTTCCATAAAGATTTATAGCCTTGGAAACTCAGTGGGGGTTGCTATGAGTTGGAATTGACTCGATGGCAGTGGGTTTGGTTTTGGTTTATACATTAAGAAGTCCTAGTGGCACAACAGTTAAAGCATTTGGCTGTTAACCAAAAGGCTGACAGTTCAAACCCAGTAGCCTCTCTGGGGGAGAAAGATGAGGCAGTGTGCCTCAACAAAGATTTACAGCCTTGAAAACCCTATGGGAGCAGTTCTACTCGACCGTGTGGGTCACTATGAGTCAGAACAGGCTCTGTGGCAGTGGGGTAGAAGGAGCCCTAGTGACACCAACAGTTAAGTGCTTGTCTGCTAGACAAAAAGTTGGCGGTTCAAACCCACCAGTGGCTCCACAGGAGACAGGCCTGGGGACCTGCTTCCATAAAAGATTACAGCTCTGAAAACCCCATGGGGCAGTTCCAGTCTGTCACGTAGTTGCTGTGAGTCAGAATTGACTGAATGGAAACAGGTGTCATTATACCCAGAAGCAAAGCATTTGTTCCTAAATAACTGAGTATTTAAACAACCAGGATCTCTACCAGCAATGCGATAGCCTAGAGCTGTCTTGTCAGTAGGAAAGCAAGATCTGACTCAACTCCTTACTGTGTCCATTTTAGCCAACGGGGCAGAACACACACTCACACATATACATACACACACACGCACACACACGCACATACACACACACACACACACACGCCTCTTCCTTACAGCATCACTTTGGGCTTCTCTATCCCAAATCTCTCTTGATAATTATGTTATAAATTACTACTTAGAAAGCTGCTCTGAAAAACTGATGGACCCAGAAAGGACATGCATATCAAATCAATTCACACTGAAGTGTACATGACTGATCGATGTGTCAAATACGGGGTTTTGCACTTTAATATTTGCTAAACCAAAAGGATAAATCGATCACGGTGGCATTGCAAACACTAGTTAAGGGCTGGAGGGGAAGGTTTTCCCAGGAGGTGGAGGGGAGAATGGTTCCCGGAAACTGTTTTAGGATAACTAATGTCCCCACCCTACTCCCACCACCCGGCTTTGACCCTCCCACCCCCACCACCATTCCCTTATCCAGCAGTGACCACTCTCCTTCCAAACCTGTTCCAGACATGTACATAAGTATTTATATAAAACATAGAAATTCAGCCCATTGTGTGAATTTTACCTAAATGCACCTGCCCTGTAAATGTTATTCTAGAAGTTGCTGTTTTCCGCTCAACAGTATGTTTGGAACTCTTTCCGCAACAACACATAAAGATGAGGCTCACATTAATTTCATTGCCGCGTGGGGCTTTAAAGCACTGCATCTCAGCACTAGCGTGCGTACAGATCACGCAGGGATCCTGTTAACATGCAGATCCGGATGCTGGAGGTCTAGGATGAGCCCGAGGTTCTGCTTCTCTCAGAAGCTCTCAGGGGTTGCTGATGCTGCTGGTCAAGTAGTTCACACTTTGAGAACCAAGGGTGGTAGCGTCTGGGTGCCTGTGCTGCCTGTGGTGAGCTGGCACCCACCCAGCTCAGGAGATCTGGTAGTCAAATGTTCTGGGATTTTGTGAGCTGTCATTAAACACAGCCGTCATGAAAAAATTAAACTATCTAATCTTACAAGTGATAAATCATATTAAAAACAGGTAATAAATGCTCAGAAATGATTACTTCCTAATTATCTGACTACATCTGAAAATCCGTGCCCTCGGGGATATTTACGCCTCTTGTATCTGGTGGAACGAGGCTCCAGCACATGTCTTCCCAACTCGGTCTTTAGTGACATCACTTTGGCTGTTGTTGTCATTTTGGCAGCTTGAAATCGGCCACGGGGAGGATTTACCCCACAGAAACTGGGCTTGAAGGCATGAAATAAACCAAGCCTTCTGCATGAATGATATTAACAACCTTTTCATTTTTGTAAATCTGATAAATGAAAACTGGCGTTTCATCCTTAGCTTGCATTTCCCTGGTTACAGTGATACTGAGACTCAAAGGTTTAAACTTCCTAGAAATTGAATAGTTTTCCTTGCCCTTGGGAACCAAAAACCAAACCAAACTCACTGCCGTCGAGTCGGTTTCCGAGGCAGTATCACTACGGAAGTAGATTGCCCCATCTTCCTTCCGAGGAGTGGCTGGTGGGTTTGAACCGCCAGCCTTTGGTTAGCAGTCATGTGCCTTAGACACCACACCACCAGAGCTCCTTTACCCTTGGGCATAGGATCATTTTAGTATTGTGTTCCAGTTAATTATTATACAGGAAAGCTTATTGTTAATGTTATTACTATTAAGTCAGGCCACCTTGCGATATTCTTCTACCAGTTCATATAGCTTGTGAGTCTATTTTCTTGACAGTTCTTGGTAGTCATATCACCCACAAACAATAACACAGTTTACTTTTCCACATAAATAATTGCATGTTAATATCTGTTGTGTTCTGCCGTGCTGACACTGACCACGGGCTCAGTGGCTCAGGAATCCCTGCTCATCGGTGTCTCACTTCTGATTTCAATAGGACCCTCCTGCATCCCCCCACTACGTTTCTGGAAGGTATTCTTCAGCTTTTCTCTTCCTGGTTTACTAAGTGGAAACTTCTCAGCTGTTTTGTGTTTTCTACCAATGGATGTTCAATTTGTCAAGCTTTTACTTCCACTTTCTAATCTAAGCATTCTGATAGTGATTGGATTTCTCACAAGAACATGTGCTCTTTTGTCTTTAAAGGGCACATTACGTTTTTTTCCTTCCCTCATGCTTTATACTCCTTCCTGTTTCAGCCCCTGTCACTCTCCTCTGGGCGCAGTGGCTAAGCATTTGTCTGCTAACCGAAAGGTCAGGGGTTCAAACCTACCAGCTCCTCCGTGGGAGAAAGATGTGGCAGTCTTCTTCCTTGAAGATTTACAGCTGTGGAAACCCTATGGGGCAGTTCTACTGTGTCCTATAGCGTCACTCACTATGAGTCAGAATTCCACTAGACAGCAATGGGTTTGGTTGACACTCCTCAAACGTGCCCCTGCCCAGGAGCCAGTCTCTGGGTTTTAGAGAACAGCAACATTCTCTCCATGTCCCACTCAGCACTGAACTTTATACGTAATGGCATTTCAATCAATGGTCAGGGAATTCCATGAATGTAAACCATCAGTTCATGTGCGGATTCCTGAAACTCCTTTGCAATATCTAAGTGAGGGCTGCAAGGTCTTTTCCAACTCTGCATTCCCCACCACTCCCAACCCAAGAACACAAAGGGCTAATGGCTCTGCAGATCCTCATCCCTGGAATGTTGGCTACACTGGTAGTGGCTGGCCCTGTGTTGAACCTAGGGGCCACCAAGAGTCCCGATCAGAATCCATGGCTAGGTAAGTGCATGGGGTTTGAAACACTGCTGTTTGCCGCTGTTGATATAGGAATACTGGAATTGCTTCCAAGAGCATATGGAACAGTTCTTGTTTGTCATTAACTTTTCTCTCCAGCAGGGACCGCCTGTGTAACACCAGACTGTTGTTAGTTGCTGTCCAGTTGATACAAACTCCCAGAGACCCCAAGAGTACAGACTAGAACTGCTCCAGGGGGTTTTCAGAAGCAGGTAGCCAGAGCTGTCTCCCCAGGAGCCTTAGGGTAGACTCGAATTTCCAACTTTTCTGGCTAGCACTTAACTGTTTGCAACCTAGGGAGCTTCGGTGGCATAGTGCCTAAGGCATTTGACTGCTAACCAAGAGGCTGGTGGTTCAAACCCACCAGCCACTCCTCAGGAAGGAAAGTTGGGAAATCTACTATCTGTAGTGATACCACCTCGGAAATCCAAGGAGGGGTCGCTATGAGTCGGATCCGATTCCACAGCAATGAGGTTTTTTTTGAGGGACTCCTAAGTCAGCAGGGTGTATAGAAAAACATCCAGAGAAGATCTGAGAGAAGCCTAGAGCGGTTGTTCCAGCCCTCTGAAATCAAATCAGTTGGGTCCATATTCCACTTCTGCTATTTACAGCCACAGGCAGGTCACTTGTCTCTGTATTTGTTTGTTCATCTATAAAAAGGGACAGTAAAAGCACAAAGTTAATAGCGAGATTTAAAGAGATAATAAGCCTTATCACAAAGTTAAAGCTCATCGTGAAAGCTCCAGGAACATTAGCCGTATTGTTTTTAATATCACAAGGGTGGCGGACTTTGTACAGTATGGTATTCATACTGCGGGGTTAGCGGGCGGGGGCGCGTTTCTGCGGGGGCGAGGCCTGCGGCTTGCGGCTGTCCTAGCACCTCCTGGGCGGCAGAGGGCGCACGCTCGTGGCAGCTGCGCGAGGAGCCGGGCGGGTGGTTGGCGGAGCGCTGGGGCCGGCCGGCAGACTGGGCCCCATACGCCGGGCGGTGCAGGTAGGTGGCTGGCGCCCCGCCCGCTCGAGTTTCCGTCCCAGAACTAATCCCACGTCCCCTGGGGCCCACGACCAGCCCCGCGCCGAGATGGGGGGTGCGTCCCACCCAAAGCGAAACCGAAAGACCCGCACATGGTGATTCGACCTTTGCTGGGTGGAAAGGGGGTACGCTGCGAGAGGCGGGGGGGCCCGGGTGTGTCTTGGGGAGCGGAGATGGGGGCGCCAGGATGGGGCGCGCACGTGGTGCAGACCGGCTCAGAGTTAGGGGGCCCGCAGGTGAGTTGGAGTTGGAGACCTAGACCGGGATTTCCTAGCTGGGCGGGGACGAGGGGTGGGACTTAGGGAGACCGGTCAAAGCTCAGAGTGGGGGGCGGGACGTCCTAGTCGAGCTGGGCCGGGAACACAGCGGGACCGGGAGACCGCCTTGGAGCGGTTTTCGTCGGGGGTGGTGGTGATAGGGGCCCTCGGACCCTGGATAAAAGGCCAGAGGTCCCAGATCTCTTGGGAGTCTGAGCGCCCTACTCTCCTAGATGGTCATGACAGGCAGAGCCCGCAAGGAGGCGGTGCAGGCCGCGGCCAAAGAGCTCCTCAAGTTCGTGAACCGGAGCCCCTCTCCCTTCCACGGTGAGTCACCAGGACAGGGAAGGAGGGAGGGCCCGGTGTGGCCCCCATCGGCTTCCATAGTGGTGAGAGCGTTCTTTCCCTATAGCTGTGGCTGAGTGCCGCAGCCGTCTCCTCCAGGCTGGCTTCCATGAACTCAAGGAGACCGATAGCTGGGATATCAAACCCGAGAGCAAGGTACGTGAGGTGCCGTGGGGTGGGGGCAGAGAGGCAGGGCACCCAGGCGGGGGCTCAATGTCCTGTGTGCCAGCAAGCTAATCCTGCCCCCCTGCCACAGTACTTTCTGACAAGGAACTCCTCCACCATCATCGCTTTTGCTGTGGGGGGCCAGTATGTTCCGGGCAATGGCTTCAGCCTCATTGGTGCTCACACGGACAGCCCCTGCCTCCGGGTAAGGAACTGGACCGATTCTGAGGGTGCTGGGGTATGGGTATTACGGGGAGTATGGGGCAGAACGGAGCTAAACCAAACCAAAACCAAATTCACTGCCATCGAGTTGATTGCAACTGAGCAACCCCCTTGGGTTTCCCAGGCGGTAAATCTTTATGGAAAAGATTGCCTGGTCTTCCTTGCAGGAGTGCCTGATGGGTTTGAACTGCCTACCTTCTGGTTAGCAGTCAGATGCCTCAGGCACTGCACTACCAGAGCCCCTTAGAGCAGAGGTAGGAGGTATGAAACTGGGTTGGACTATATTCTCTGTAGTCCCTGGGTGGCGCAGACGGTTGTTCACTGGGCTGCTGACCTGCACTTTGAGTCCCCTTACAGGTGTCTTGAAAGAAAGGCCTGGTGATTTACTTTCAAAAGTTCACAAACTGAAAAACCAAACCAAACTCACTGCGGTCGAGTCGATTTGGGCTCATGGCGACCCCTCCTTGGGTTTCCCAGGCAGTATGTCTATGGAAGTAGATTGCCCAATCTTCCTTACAGGCGTGTCTGATGGGTTTGAACTGCATACCTTCTGGTTAGTAGTCAAATGCCTTAGACGCTACGCCATAGAGCACAGTTCTCCTTCAACACACATGGGGTGCCTTGAGTCATCATCCTCTCAGTGGCAACTATTTTGGTTTGTTTTTGTTCCCTGGATAGGGAGTAAGACACATCTGTTGCCTCTCCACCCTTTGTGCCTTTCGCCTGGCACTGAGTTGCTCTATATTTCTTGACTTATTCATGGTCTAAGTTCACTTTCATCAGGACACTGATCTTTGGGAAGACAGGGTCCAGTGTCTTGCCCCTGGGTCAGGGGAGCCCAGTCAGTAACGTGAGCAAGCTCGTCACTCCACTCTCTCTGACTTTCCCTTCCCCGTCTCCATGCTCAGGTGAAACGCAAGTCTCGCCGCAGCCAGGTGGGCTTCCTCCAGGTGGGCGTGGAGACCTATGGTGGTGGGATCTGGGGCACCTGGTTTGACCGTGACCTGACCTTGGCTGGACGCGTCATTGTCAAGGTGGGAACTGGAGACCTAAACATTAATGGTCACTCCCCTTCAGGGTGCCCTTGGAGAAGCCCCCTGGGGAAGAGGGATAGACCCCCCCCCTGGGGAGAGAGGACCAGAAAACTGCCTTGGTTAATCTGGGTGAATGAAGTGCTGGGGTGGGAGGCGCCCATGCTGACTGGCCTGGCTGGCCGCAGTGCCCCACGTCAGGCCGGCTGGAACAGCGGCTGGTGCATGTGGAGAGACCCGTTCTGCGTATCCCACACTTGGCCATCCATCTGCAGCGGAACATCAATGAGAACTTTGGACCCAATACGGAGATGCATCTGTGAGATGGGGGCCGGCTGTGGTGGCTGGAGGGGCAGGGTTTGGCACCGTGTGGTGGAAGGGTCCCAGATGAGACCTGGGAGGCGGCCATCTAACAGTCCAGTTCTTGGGTGGCATTGATCCCCGAGGGCCCTGGGGAGTGAGCTGGGAGTCAAAGGGCCAGGGCCGTTCCCCATCAGGAGACACCTGAGCTCAGGTGCCCCGCTTGGCTGTGCCCACCACATCCCCCACTCACGTGTCTCTCCACAGAGTCCCTATTCTGGCCACAGCCGTCCAGGAAGAGCTGGAAAAGGGAACACCTGAGCCAGGGCCTCTCAGTACTATGGTGAGAGCAGCCCCCTGGTGGGGGAGCAGTGGGGAACACCTGAGCCAGGGCCTCTCAGTACTGTGGTGAGAGCGGCCCCTTGATGGGGGAGCAGTGGGCAGAGGGCTTCCCTGAGGAAGAAGAACGGAGGAGCAGAGCCCCCTCCCAACACCCTCCTGTCCTGCAGGATGACCGGCACCATTCAGTCCTCATGTCCCTGCTCTGCGCCCACCTGGGGCTGAGCCCCGAGGACATCTTGGAGATGGAGCTGTGCCTTGCAGACACCCAGCCTGCGGTGAGGAGCGCTGCAGGAGCTGTGGGTGGGGCCCCGGAACCCCAGCCCACTCCCGCATGGCCTCTGGCGCACTCATCATGCCTGCCAGTCGCCCAAGTCCTCTCATCCCTGTTCTCCCAGTAGAGACCACCCTCCTCCCCCAGGGCAATGGTTCTCAAATAGGCAGATTCCCCAGACCTGCAACCTCGACTCTCTGAGGTGGGGCCTTGTTATCACCCTTTTTCACAGATTCCCCAGGCATTTCTAATGTAGGGGGTCCCTGTCTACATAAGGGCAAGAGGCCTGGATGTGGCCCCCTTTTTCTGGACCCTGCCCTTGTCTCCCAGTTGCAACAGTAGGAGATTGCTAAGACTTCTGATATAGCACAGATGGTTTGTGTTCAACTACAAACGTAAAGGTGGGCAGTTCAAACGCACCCAGCGGTGCTGTGGAGGGAAGGCCTAGTGAACTGCTTCCCTAAAGATTATATCCAGGAAAACCCGGTGGAGCTGTTCTGTTCTGTAACTCATGGAACCACCGTGAGTCGGAATCAACTCCACAACAGTGGCTTTGGCTTGGCTTTGGGCTTGTCCTGTTTGAACGTGCACTGTGTTTCTGGTTCTTGGTTAGTCTCCTCTGTTTATTTCCTTAGCATTCCTTTGGGACCCTTCAGTGCCTCCTTTTCCTGTCCCACAGGAACCGCTCAGGAGCTCCAGGCCTCCACCCTCCCAGCAGCCCTCACTTCTAGCCCAGCCCGACCTCCACTCTCAGCTCAGCCCTGCCCTGCAGGGACAATAGTGCACTGAGCCAGGGGTCATGGAGAGGTTTCCCAAGAGACCGAGGCCCTGCTTAGGTTTAAGCCCTTGGAATAGGGAGAGGCAGGGAAGTGAGGGTGAGCTTGAAGGTCAAGTTGACTGTACTGTCTCTCTAGGTCCTGGGTGGGGCCTATGAGGAGTTCATCTTTGCTCCCCGGCTGGACAACCTGCACAGCTGCTTCTGTGCCCTGCAGGTGAGGAGTGGAGCCTCCACCCCAGGCAGCACATACCCCTGGGAGAGGCAGAGGGTGTGGGGGTGGGAGTCCTGGCAGGTCGGTAGAAAGGGCTGCTGGCCACACTGTCTGCTGGTACTGGGTGGGTCATGAGAACGGGCTTACATACTGCAACCTCAGCATCACTACCCTTGCCCCCTGCCCTTGCACTTGGGGTTAGGGGCCAGGTACAGGAAGGCTGACAAGGTTAGGGCTTACTGGTGGGTGGTGTCTGGCCTCACCCTGCTCTTGCCTTGCATTTTAGCCATCTGTGCTTCCAGGCAGAGGCCGGCAGTACCACCTTATCACCCCAGAGGGCGTTATCACCCGCCTTTCACTGCTTCTCTCCCCAGACTTAAGGCCACCCAGCCTTCTCTTACTCTTCAGCCCTCTGTGGGGTAGCCTCTCTTTTTCCTTGTCCACTTGATTCTCCAGGAGCTCTGGTAGTGTAGTGCCTAAGGGTACTTGACTGCTAACCAGAAGGCTGGCGGTTCAAACCCACCAGCCACTTAGAAGAAAAATGGAACAGTCTATTTCTGTAGTGATACTGCCTCGGAAACCCAAGGAGGGGTCACTGTGAGTCAGGTCCAACTCGATGGCACATAACAACAGCAACAACACTTGATTCTCCACCTTCTTTCCACCTCAAGTCAGTTCCTTCTCTCCCCAGGCTTCAGTCCTCCCTCTACCCCTCCTTCCCTGCTTGTTCTTTTGCTGGAGATGGACTTTGGGGTGTAATTGGAAAAGCCAGAGGCAGATCTGCACCCACTTCTGCAGCCAGCTGGCCATGTGGCCTTGATGGAGTCACGGTCACCTCTTTCGACCTCAGTTTTTTATTGAGGCCAATTCGTTACATGATCTGTGGTCCTTTTGACTTTTGGGTTTGGGTTCTCAGCGCTGCCCCTCCATCTTGTATATTCTTTTCTTGCCTTTGCGTGGAAAGGTGTGGGAGGAGAACACCCTAAGGATGCCATCCCCCATCCCAGTTGAAAAGGGTCCCTAGCATGCCCCCCACCAGGCAGTGCCCTAGGAGACGAGTTGGTGAAAGCCTGAGCCCACTACATCTCAGCCACGGTGCTAGAAGGCCAGTAGGGGCGTCTGAGACTCCGAGGTGTTGGGGGCTGAGTCACTAGGGGAGCAGGGATGATGACAATGCTTTCGTTTCCCTTCCCGAGGCAGGCCTTGATCGATTCCTGCTCAGCCCCTGCCTCCCTGGCTACAGAGCCCCACGTTCGCATGATTGCGCTCTACGACAATGAAGAGGTACGTGGGGGGTGCAGGGAGGGGACCCTAACTCGTGCCAGGTGCCCTCCGTGACCCAGGGCTGCCCTGGGGTCCCCGCAGATGGGGGAGACGCTGCCTGTGCTTCCTTAGCCCTGGAGAGTCCCTCTGGCTCCTTGTGTATCTGTTTCTCCTGTGACCATATTTCTTGTCTCTGCCGCATGCTGAGTTCCTCAAGAACAGACAATGTCCAGTTCATCCTTGTGGCCCCAGGATTCAGCACGCAACGTCCTTCTTCTGCACACTTGTATTAGGGTCCAGCCCCCCCCTTTTTTTTTTCCTCATTGTGATGTGGGTGAAAGTTTACAGAGCAAATTCACTTTCCATACAGCAGCTCACATATACTTTGTCTCATGACAGTAACTGCAGTTTCACATAATGCAACAGCTCCCCTCCCACATCCTCCCCATAGTTACCTCTTCCTGTGTCCTCTCCCATGCACTCTTGCCCCCCGAGCTGTCTTCCTGTGCATACACAGCCCTTCTGTTTTCCCATGATTGATCTCTCCAAGGAGTATATCTACCTAATGTAAATGTTCACTTCATATACCGGTCTTTTGTTTGGCTGGAAGCCACAGGAATGCATTCAGTTCCAGACCTGAAGGGCAGCTAGGGGCCATAGTCTCAGCGGTTCCATCAGACCAGCAAATCTGGTCCCCCCCCCCTTTTTTTTTTATATGATTTTGAGTTTTGTTCCACATTGTTTTCCCACTCTATCCAGAATCTCCTCCATAGATCCCCCTCTGAGTGGTTGACAGTGGTAGCTAGCTGAGCACCATCTAGTTCTTCTGGTCTCATAGTTGTATAGGCTGAGGATCGCATGGTGTACCAGTTACTAGGACTAATTGTTTCCATGCATCTTTGGTTTTCTTCATTCTTCCTCACTCTGGTTAGGGTCCAGTCTTAGGCACTAATAGAGGTTCCAAATACATTGGCTCGAACAGAGACCGCATTCCTTGTATAATGACACAGTCAGGTGTTTCGGTTCCCTAGTGCCACTCTAACAGAAGGTAACACAAATGGGATGCTTTAACGCACAGGAGTTCATTCTCTTACAGTCTGGAGGCTTTAAGTCCGAGTTCAAAGTGCCGGGCTCTAGGGGCTGGTGAAAGCCCCTCAGCCTTGGCTTTAGCTCTGCCCCTGCTCCCGGCCCACTGAAGCTAGAGGCTTTTCTATACTCAGACAGCTGCTGGCTGCTGAGACTGACAAGCCCAAGGTTGACAAGTAAAAAGGTACAGTCCTGATGTTACCAAACCACATGGCAGGCCATTAATTCAAGTCCATTATAAGTCCCAAGGTCGGCAGAGCATGGAAAGTTGCTGAACAACGACATGGCTACATGCAGGGTTCAGGCGTGCCATAAGCTAAAGACCATTCCCCAAGGCTTCTCCTTATATACAGGAAGCAGACCACATCCCTAAGGCAGCTACTCATCTGCTCACAGTAGATCTACCATGTAGTTGATTGCTAGTCTTATCATGGGGAATGCTACATCTAGTTGCCCAGCCACTCAACCAGGCCCAGCCAAGCTGACCCACAAACTTAACTACCTCATCAGGGTTAGCAGTTCAGAGTAGGTCTCTGCGGTACTTAACACATGGCTTTCATCTTGGGATCCAAGGTGGCTGTCCCAGCTCTCTCCATTGTGTCTACGCCGAGTTAGGAAGCGGGCAGAGGGCAAAGTAGGATTGTACAGCAGTGCCTTTTAAGGACATGGTCCACAGATGTCATCCATTGCTGCTTATACCGCACTGGTTAGAACACAGCATGGCAGTGTGTAGCTGCAAGGGAGGCAGGGACTGTGGCGTCCAGCTGGGCGGTTGTGGGCTGAACTACAGCTTGGGGTTCTCTTACAACAGCAGTTTCTGTCACATGCATAAAAGAAAAGTGACCAGTGTGGAACCTGTGCTGAGCCCCAGATGTGAGGGTTAATAGAGAAGCAAGGGGATTGGGTGTCAGAAACCCACAGGTAAATGCAACTTTGGCCCAGAAGTGACTGAGTCACTCAGGCCCCAGCCTCAGGTTTCAGTGATGACACAGGTCCAGGCTCCTGGAGTTGGGGAGATTGTTCATAAGCCCCCTGAGGGGGTCCTGGGCTGACCTGGGCACTGGGTCCTGGCGTCTCAGCTCCAGCTCAGGCCCCTGACCCCAGACGCCCAGAGTCAGCTCTCTGCTGTCACCAGGTGGGGTCTGAGAGCGCCCAGGGAGCACAGTCACTGCTGACGGAGCTGGTGCTGCGACGCATCTCAGCCTCGCCCCAGCACCTGACAGCGTTTGAGGAAGCCATACCCAAGTCCTTCATGATCAGCGCCGACATGGCCCATGCGGTGCACCCCAACTACCTGTGAGTGGCACAGCCTGGGACCCAGCATCCCCTTCAGGTCTGCCCTGGCCCTGGGCCCTAGTTTCTCCCCCTTCCTCTTCTTTCTCAGTCTGCCAGGAGGTTCAGTGGGGACCGCATGTTGCCTGCTCTGAGGCCCAGCTTGGTCAGTGTCATGTAATGACTAGCCATGGTGTGTTGAGTAGGCTTCATTTCATAAATTGATGCTCATCTATTGCTAGATGCTGCCTGAAACACAGTGTTTAGGATGACTCTGCGGTCCTGTCGGACTGGGCAGGACAGAATGCTGTGGTCCATTAGTGACATCTGTTGTGGGAGGGATGGTGGGTGTTGGAAGGCCTGGCCCCTGCTCTCCATCCCCGGCCTCATCTGTCTTGCAGAGACAAGCATGAGGAGAACCACCGGCCCTTATTCCACAAGGTGAGATGCTCTTTTCTTGGGGACCTGGAGGCCTGGCTGGTGCTGGACCCTATCGCTTTCCTTCTGGGCTTGTCACCTGTCCCTGCCTCACCTGGCTTCCTTCCCCACAGGGGCCCGTGATCAAGGTGAACAGCAAGCAGCGCTATGCCTCAAATGCGGTTTCTGAGGCCCTGATCCGAGAGGTGGCCAACAATGTTGGGGTGCCCCTGCAGGTGAGGCTGGGCCCTGCCTGGGAAGGTGTGACAGAGGGAGCAGGGTGGGGACATAAACTGAAGGGCCCCCAATGAGGAGGGAACCTGGGAAAGGACCTTGGTGGAGAGCTTCCCAGTAGAGTGGGAACAGAGGTTCTTGGATATGAGCACAGCTGGGTTCAACTCATGTTCTGTTGAATACTAGCTGTGTGACTTTGGGCAAGTCTCTTAACCTCTCTGAGTCTCAGTTTCTTCATCTGTAAAATGAAGATGATAACGATGTCTACTCTGCCAGACTTCTGTGAGGATGAAAAGTGAAGTGTGCTCTGGCACATAGTGGGTTAGTCCTGCCCTTTTATCAACCCTGCACACCCCAGTTTCCCCATGTCGTCTTACGTACCCTGCAGCTTCCATAAGGGAAGTTCATGGCTGGGGAGCCTAGATTCCAACTACTCATTTCTCTCTTGCCTTGGAAATCAATCTAATTCCTTGTATTCCTTGTGTGTGTGTGTGTGTGTGTGTGTGTGTGTGTGTGTGTTGGGCTCTGGGTGGTCAGGTGACTCACTGTACAGCAGGCAAGCCCCGGTGGAGTCAGGACCAGGACCCTGGCTGGCATCCTGACTCCCAGCAGCCCAGGGTACGTCCTGCTGCACGGCCCCTGCCCCACCCCGTGTAGAGCTGAGGCCTAACTTGTGAGGAAGAGACAGCTATGGGAGGATCTTATTCAAAGAATAAGTTATTATTTAATTGTTTAATTTATTTGAGTCTATAATTTTCTCTTCTACTGAAAAGCTTGTTACCTAACATTGTATTGTAAGTCTCTTTATTTACTTTTTATCATAATACAAAGAAAATAGTTTCAAAACGTCAGTAGCAATATTTTTAAAAACACTGAAAGTTCTGAGTGCTTTATCTTTGGGAGGGGAGGGGAGGGGAGGATAAGCAAGAGGGTGACATATCAAGATGAGTTCTTTTTTAAAACTTCCTCAGCTGCCGTGTGGGGTAGGGGTGATTTATGGGAGGCAGGATGACTGGCTGGAACGAGGGGCGTGGCGGTGCAACGGAGAGACTCAGATCAATCAGAAGATGCTGTGCTTGGAGGCCTGTCGCTTAGTGCTGGCTTTGTGATTTTATCCAGTCACTTGCACTCTCCCGAGGGGGTGTTGTGTGCCATCAGCCCGGCATTTCTAAGGCCACGTTCTCCTTGGGCTTCCTGAGCACCCACTGTTAGCTGCTCACCAGCCGCTCCCCACTTCCAGGATCTCATGGTGCGCAATGACTCCCCCTGTGGTACCACCATCGGACCCATCCTGGCCTCTCGGTTGGGGCTGCGGGTACTGGATTTGGGCAGCCCCCAGCTGGCCATGCACTCCATCAGGGAGACGGCCTGTACCACGGGAGTACTCCAGACCCTCACCCTCTTTAAGGTAACTCCCACCCCACCTGACCCCATCACCACGGCGGCTGGGCACCTCTACCTCTGGCACCTGGATTGGTTGCTGGGGCAACATCACCATGACTAAATGGCTGACCTAGGTGAGGGGGCTGGTGGACATGGTGCTGCCACATAGGAAAGCAAAGGTCCCCCTTTTTTGTAAAGGCTTGGGGGCCTTGACCAGCCCCCAGAGGGAAGCGAGGGCAAGGAGAGGGGACCAAGGATGGGAAGGGTGGGGCAGCTGTCAAGCAATCAGTGAAACCAGTATGCTTCCTCCGGGCACGTGTTGGTGGGAGGTGAGCGCAGGCCCCTCCGTCTGGTCCCCCACTCATTCCACATCCCACCTTGCCTCCCATTGTAGGGCTTCTTTGAGCTGTTTCCTTCTCTGAGCCGTGGCCTCACAGTGGATTGAAGCCTCTTGAGAAGACTTCCCTTCCCAGTCCTTTGCCCTCAGAGGGGAAGTTCTTGGCTGAGCTGAAGCTGGAAGAATTAAAGTGGATTTTTCGCTCAAACTCACTCTGCTGGGCTTGTCTGGAGACTGAAAGGGTCAGGGTTGAGCCTGGCTTGAACCTCTGGAACCAAAACAGGGCACGTTGGGGTGCAGGTAGAGAGGCCATGGGTGCTGGGAGCTGGTGGGGAGGACTGCTTCCAGGTCTGGTTTTCTCTTGAGCCATTGGCGGAAGTGGCTGAGGTGAGCTGGGTCCACTATTGGAAGGGCATTTGTTGTTTCACCCCCAGCCCCCGCTTCCCCTGGAAAGTGGCTTTAATGCCCTTCCTCCCTCCGTCCCCAAAGAGCCCAGCGATGGGCCCCCTCCAGAGCTGGCCTGCCCCTCACAGTCTGTGCTTCCTCGTCCTTCATCATCTGCTTCTGAGCAGCCTCTGCTAATATTAGGGAAAAAGATGATCATTGAAAAAACAGGAAAAGTCAGAGTCTGCTTACAAACCAACCTCCATTTGCCCACTAAGATAACTCTGCTAACCAGTGTTCTTTCCAAATTTTTTTTTTTTTTAATTGCGATTTGGGTGAAAATTTACAGAGCAAATTCACTTTCCATATAGCAGTTCACATACACTTTGTCTCATGACATTGACTGCAATTTACCACAATGCAACAGCTCCCCTTCCACTTCTTCCCGACAGTCACTTCTTCCCTGTGTCCATCCTCCATGTACCCCTGCCCCCTGAGCTGTCTCCCTGTGTATAAACAGCCCTTCTTTCTCCCATGATTGATCTCTTCAAGGAGTGTATCTACCTCAGGTACATGTTCAACTCATATGCCTGTCTTTTGTTTGGCTGGAAGCCGCAGGTGTGGGTTCAATTCCAGACCTGAAGGGCAGCTAGGGGCCATAGTCTCAGGGGTTCCACCAGGCTCTATCAGACCAGCAAACCTGGTCCCCCCCTTTTTTTTCGCCAAATGAATTTGAGTTTTGTTTCACATTATTCTCCCACTCTATCCAGGATCTCCTACATAGATCCCCCTCTGAGTGGTTGACAGTGGTAGCTGGGCACCATCTAGTTCTTCTGGTCTCATAGTCGTGTAGGCTACAGATCACATGGTGTACCAGTTGCTAGGACTAATTGTTTCCATGACTCTTTGGTTTTCTTCATTTTTCTTTGCTCTGGACAAGGAGAGACCCATTGGTGCATCTAGATGGCTGCTTGCAAGCTTTTAAGATCCCAGTCACTATTCGCCAAAGTAGGAGGTGGAACAATGTTTTTTGTAGTATGTTATGCCAATTGAGGGGAGCTCTGGTAGCATAGTGCGTAAGGCACTTGACTGCTAACCAGAAGGCTGACGGTTCAAACCCACGAGCCACTCCTCAGAAGGGAAGTTGGGCAATCCTACTTCCGTAGTGATAGTGCCTTGGAAACCCGAAGAGGGGTCACTATGAATTGGGGCCGATTCGACAGCAAATAACAACAACAACATGCCAGTTGAGCTTGATGTCCCCTGCAACTATGGTCCCGAGCTCACAGGTTCAACTATTCAGTCCCTCTGGGTAGCTGACTGACCAAGAAGTGACAACAACCTTGTCCCTTGTCAGCTCTACTATACCTCTGGGAATTCTTGCAGATCATACAAATACACTTCTAGGACCATTGTCTGTCAACCCTATACATGGTCTTGGGTACACGCTTCATAGACATACCTAATAGTTCAGTCTGTTCACCCATCTATCCACCTGTATACCCATGTTTGCCTTCACTGACAACACAGTACTGTATGTGCAAAACGGTTCTTATTTGTTGTCCGTACCTCCCATGTACCTCTCTATGTCTTCTTCTTCCTCAATGCTACCAGGTTGATCACTCAACATTTTCTTTCCAAGTTTTTTATATCTGTGTAAAAACTTGGGAGTCCCTGAGGGGTGCAGTTAATGTACTTTGTTGCTAATCAGAAGGTTGAAAGTTCAGTGTCACTCAGGTGCCTCAGAAGAAAGACCTGGTAATCTGTTCTGAAAAATCATCCATTGGAAACCCTACGGTGCACAGTTCTGCTCAGACACACACGGCGTTGCCATGAGTCAGATGAGGTTTATTTGGGCAAAAGATCCACCAATCAGGCAGCGTCAGACTGAAAGGGAAAGGTACTCCACTGTGTATCAGTAGTGATTGGTTTTTATTGATAAAGAAGATGCAAAAGAAGCTGACTTCTGATTGGCTTATAGTTTTGTGTTTTTCATAGATGGCAGCATCTTTACAAGAATGCATTTATATTTTATTTCCTCTTACTCATTCAGAACCATGCAGCGTTTCTGGTAGGGCATCAGGAAGACTCGTGGCACGCTGGATGCTGCCTCCACCCGGCTCCCTCTGCTTGTTTCTTCCCAGGGGCCTGAGGATGCTCAGGCTGACACTCTTCACCACTGGGATTTTAAGCTTCAGGAGAAACCCAGTTGCTGTCAGCTGACTCCGATCCGTGTTGGCCCCGTGTGTGTCCAAGGGGAACGGGGTTCTGCTCAGTTTTCAGTGTCTGCTTTCTCAGAAGTAGGTCACCAGGCCTTTCTTCTGAGACAACTGGCTTTTTATATAAAATTTAACTTTTGCATGAAAACGACCATAGCTTTTTTTTAACAAGTTAATACAGTGCAGAGGTATTTCCATATCAATGTACATAACTAACTTGGCAATAGCAAAAAATCAGAATCAACCTAACGACTAATCGGTAAAGGGAAAGCCAAACAAATACATTATGAAGTGTTCATGTTACTTCAGTCTTGAGGAGGTTAATGTAAAAGTAGCACGGGGGCCACGTGGGACCTCTGACTTCACTAGAGGGGAAGAGGGTCATTTGCTGCACCAACAGCCCCAGGCTGATTACCGTGAAGCTGAGGTCAGACGTGCCGCCACCTTCCAGCCTTTTTACTAATTCTGACACCAGCTGTCCTTCCCGTGGCACCTTCTACTTCTCTGCTGGTTTCAATAATTTGGCAGTGGCCACTGAGAACTCAGATAATATTCATGATTATGGGATTGTGGTGGTTATATTTGTGTGTCAACTTGGCTGGGCCTGGTGGAGTGGCTGGGCAGCTGGATGTAGTATTCCCCGTGGTGAGATTGATTGGTAATTAACTCCATGGTGGAACCTATTGGAGCAGCTGAGTGGCTACTTTGGGTATGTGGTCTGTTTCCCATATATAAGAAACAGCTTATGACATGCTTGAACCCTGCATGTTGCCGTGTCATTGTTCAGCAGCCTGCCATGCACTGCCAACCTTGGGACTTTCAATGGACTTGAATTAATGGCCTGCTGTGTGGTTTGGTAACATCAGGACTGTGCCATTTTATTTGTCGACCTTGGGCTTGTTAGCCTCAGCAGCCAGTAGCTGCCTGAGTGAAGAGATGCCTCCTGCTAGCTTCAATGGGCTGGGAGCAAAAGGCAGAGCTGAAGTCCAAGGTCAAGAGGCTTTCCCCCAGTCCCTAGAGTCTGGCACTTTGAACTCAGACTTCTAGCCTCCCAAACTGTAAGAAAATAAACTCCTGTTTGTTAAGGGTAGCCCATTTGTGGTATATTCCTGTCAGAGCAGCACTAGGTAACCAGAACACGGATTTATTGGGGAAATAACAGGATTGGGGAAATAATTCAGGATCAGGAACAACTCAGGATGCGGTTCTTCGATGAGAACAGCCTCTTCCCAGCCGTGCCCACAAGGACACCTCCCTCTAGCCCTTGGCCTGTTGGCCTCACAGTCCCTTGATCTCTGCCCTTCCTGGGCAAGTGTTACAAAGGTCTTTCAGCTCTGCTGATAGGTGCCCTGTGGGGTGCCCCACTCTAGCAGCGAGCCTCCTGCCCAAAGGTGCTCAGCTTTCTCTCTGAGAAGCCTACTGTGCTGCCTCCTGTCACCTTGTGCCATCTTGTGCTGTCCTTTGGTTCCGCTGCCTCTACTGCCACCACTTCTCTGCCATCTCAGCGAAGTGCTAGAGCTGTCTCTGGGTCAAGGAGGTTCAGCACAAGGACCTAGGATCCAAAGGACACATTCCACTCCTGGCTCTTCTTTCTTGATGGTAGTGAGATTCTCCTTTCCACCTCTGAGGGAACTCTCTTTAAGCTTAGCAGGGATGGCAAAACCGACCAATCCCCATGTTAGGGTCCATGTACCTTATTTGCATGGCCCCACCACCACAAGGATGCCACACACCTTCTTTACATTATTAGCAAACTATCCAATCCCCTTGGTGGGCCACAAGAACCTCACATTTGCTTAGTCCCACCCAGTCACTTGATGGGAGTTACAAAGAATACAACTGGAAGGACCATATTAAGTAATTCACTGCACTGAAGTTAGTATTTATGACCGTGAAAAGATCACAAAGACACTGGGGAGTGGCAAAAGCAAGTGGCAGAATTACAATATGATGCAATTTATGCAAAACACATGTGTCACAAAACATTTTTATGGGATATATATATATAGGAGCTCTGGTAGCATAGTGCCTAAGGCATTTGACTGCTACCCAGAAGGCTGGAGGTTCAAACCCACCAGCCACTCCTGGGAAGGAAGGTTGGGCAATCTACTTCCATAGTGATACTGCCTCAGAAACCCGAGGAGGGGTCGCTATGAGTCGGATACAACTCAGTGGCAGTGAGTAAGTTAACTAGTGGTTGGTCTATTTAGTGGATTTTTTCTAAGTACCAGCATTTTTATTAATTTGTTGATGGGAAGTGTGGTGGTAATAACCCCAGCACGCTCTTGTGGTTGTTGTTAGGTGCTGGTTGAGTCGGCTCTGACTCATAGTGACCCTATGTACAACAGAATGAAATACCACTCAGTCCTGTACCAACCTCACAATTCTTGCTATACCTGAGCCCATTGTTGCAGCCACTGTGTCACCCCATCTTGTTGAAGGCCTTCCCCTTTTTCACTGACCCTCTATTTTACCAAGCATGACATCCTTCTCCAGGGAATGGTCCCTTCTGACAACATGACCTGACTAGGTGAGACCAAGTCTGGCCATTCTCACTTCCAAGGAGCATTCCAGCTGCACTTCCTCTAGGACAGATTTGTTAGTTCTTTTAGCAGTCCATGGTACTTGCAGTATTCTTCACCAGCACCACAACTCAAGAAGCATCGTCTTCCTTACTCATTGTCCAGCTTTCACATGCATATGAGGCAACTGAAAATACCATGGCTTGG